AATGTTGTCATATCATCATAATTTTTCCGTACACCGAGAAACAAAGAGAATTAATCCAATCAAATTTGTTGTGAACAAGAATTTATAGTGAGATTTCGTGCGGAAATTTCAGGTATTTGTTCATCTGTAATAAATTTGATTGGCAGACCTATTTTTTTTTCAGTGTACTGTTTCTCAGGATTTTTCGGCTGAGAATTGGTATTGCAAAAATACCGGGCTATCTACGGGAGATAAAATAAAGGATCCTTATCCACGTGCTTTCTGCACGTGATCAGATTAATCTGATCAGATTTGAATTCTATTGGTAGAAATTCCATGGAAAAAAATAACCACCGAAACTTCTGTATTTCCCTTAGATTGAAATGCACTTTTCGAAGAATTATCTCTTTCCAAGGGAATTATTGGCTATGCTTGATTAAAATATTCGACAAAATATAATCGATGTACGCTTTGAACAGAATAACGTGATGAAAAATTCAAGTGCGGTGGCCTCTGTTGAGGTACTGAGCAATAAAGTATTAATGGACTTGATATAATCAAGTTTCCCGCATCCTTTTACGCAAACGATATGCAGATAAGGGAGTCCACTACTGTCCTCCGATATCTCATTTCAATTCTGGAATATTCAAGACTATGTCCCATCGTGATGAAATTTGAGGAGGCGATTGTACTTTCATCCGAGTATCACTACAACGTGAAATGTCTCAAGTAACCTCGGAATTGACAATAAAAACCCCCTCAGTGCATCGTACTACAATTGTTTGAAAAGATCACCTAACAATAGCGAGGCGCATTGTATCATAGAGAATAGATAATCATAGCGCAATAAGTCATGACTGTGTAGACTGAAACACGTCATCCAGCCCATCCCACACTTGTAAACACGTGCTTAAGCAGACGGGTTATTGGGCCTTGGAAAAAGATCAAAGAATAGCTCTGACGAGGATTTCAGATTCTTGGTATAATCGGTGAACCATGATTCTGGTTCTAACGTAATATAAGTGGGAAATTGCATTTGTCTTCATAAAGCATAGCTATTTTTACTAATAAGTTAGCAAAATGCTTCCGAATGGTCTTTTTACATAGCATCTTTTTTTATCGTATATCATTTAACGATTCAAATTATTCTGTTGAGTTCAATTTTTTTTTCTTTAATAAATTGTGTCAGATTTCTTGTGAAAATTCTTGGGTAAATGAAATGAAAGAATGATGCTATCTTTAGAAAATCTTTCTTCATTCATAATGGACTGCACTTGAAACATTAAATTTGAACAACTTTTCACTTTCAGTGAAGCAGTAGAAAAATTCAAAATTTGCAAAAATCTTGACTCTTCACTCCTCACAGAATTTCTTCAATTTTCCCAAATTATCGATACTCTGGATTATGTGAGATAATTCTCCAAGTCCAATAGTACAATAAGAATAATTGGTCCTCTTCGCAGGATTTCACTCAGCTTTCCATACTTCGTAACTGTCCCATAAACAGTGCAAGCCCGTCACCAGGTATTTTGCTAATGTATGACAATCCTTGTTGAAATGCTCACGACTTATCTCTTCGCCAGTGCTGGATCTTCCACCATTATTCTTATGAAGATGATTACGTTAACACATTATAGTAACTCTTTGTGTCACTGTATGATGCGAAGTTCAATCAACAGAACTGAGACTCAGATTGAATGTGGATTGTGTAGAGTGTGCGCGTTATATGAAAATCCCCCACCCCGAATGGAAGTTTATGCCTCATCTTAGAATATTTGAGAACGAAGGAGAAAATTCGAGACGAATCGAGAAAGTCATGCCTTAGCTTTTTCATATGACTCTATGATTCATCATAGTATCAGCAGCCTAGCGGTAAACCGATTTAGATCGACTTAGCTCTTCGCTGAGTTTTCAAGGAATATCTTCGAATGTAAGCGAAATTTATAACAATTTTTGTAGCTCTCGCAGTAAACCTGTTTACCGCTTCGCTACTGGTATCATATTTCATACAAGTCCCAACGGGACTTAAGGGTTACCCCCACCGTACGGATCGATGAGTCATCATACCCAATGGCTCGAGTGATTCACCGATGACGTCATCTCTATGGAACGTTCCGCGACTGTCGCGCTACCTGATGGTGGTTGGGCGGATTCCTCTATCCGGAACCCGCCAAGCAGACCTACTCACGATTGATAGGTTTTTTCTTCAAAAATATTCGGCATGCTGTCTATCTATTCGACGATAAAGAATATCATTTTCCATTATCTTCAAGATAGTCTGAGCATTGCCCTTCTGAAAATAGACTTCATTTTTCCTCATTTCTGATGAAGGATGACAAGGAAAATTTTACATTATTGATGATTCTACATTTATCTCAAGAACACGTGATTCTCTAAAAAACAACAAAAAATATCTTCAGATTTCCGTCTACAGTCAACCTGACTCGAAATATTTTATATTAGATCTTATAGAATAATCTACTTTTGAAATAAAGGTGATGATCTCTCCATTTTTTTCACTAACTTCGAAAATATTCAAAAGGTACAAAAATCGATTCTGTCTATCTCTCCTCTGAACTATTTGAGTTTATACTCGTGATTCAAGAGTTTTTTCCTCCCCTGAATATTCCAAACCTCAAGTGCTGAGAAAATAATGACATACTGTCTTCAGTAATCAATGAATCATCTGTTGTTTTTTTTGAGCAATGGAGGCAAAGATAAATAATTCGCGGAGTTCCAAACTCGTGATCCCACCATAAATTTCACAGGTGTACACCACCACTTTCCACTTGAATTGTTAACAAACACGATAACTTTAATTCTAGCCATCTCTCAATGAATTGGAATGCCGCTTCATCCCCAACAATCCGCCTAAATATGCGATTGCTTGTAATTCCGAGCGTAAAACTAGGAATATACTAAAATGAAATAAGTATTTCATGCATTAAATCAAAGTCAACACCCGAAATTACTTGAGTAAAGTCACTAAGAAGATAACGAAAGTCACTTAAGCAAGAAGCAAGCTAAACCTAATCTTCGTAAAGTATAACGGAGTATAGTACATTACATCATTAAGTCTACAGAGTATTTTTAAGGAATGTGCGAGTTATAATGTGAGCCGAAGGCTAGGTTTATCTGCTTAGTCGTCAAAAAATACTTTTTGGCCCGTGTGATGTACTCAACTTATGAAGAGCATATTATTTTTCATAACTATTTCTCGTTTATCCAAATCTCATTCAACCACTGTTATCCATTCCCGAGTACTCAATTAACTCTGGGTGAATAGGAATAGTTGATATCAAGGACTGCAGCTATGAAGCCGAGACCCGAGACATCAATCACGTACTCTGGACATGTCTTGTGTTTCCAGTGATCAGAGAAGCAATGGTTAATAAATTAATTAAAATCAGATGTCCAAGGCCATTCACCATCGACGCATTCCACGTTCTTAAGAGACTGACACCTATAATAGTATATTTCAGCACATGTGGGGCAATATCGTCTTTAACGTGTGTGGGGTTTACAACATGAGCCGAAGGCGAGTGATGTAACCACACACGTTAAGGACGAAATTTCCCAACAAGTACTGAACAAAATTTTATGTCACGAAGACGCTTATTCTCGACGCTTCGCGTCTCGTGTCTAATTCAGTCGGTTTCAGACATGAGTGGCGTAAAAATCATTTTTGCAATTCCTGTGGAAAAAAGTTCACTTTTCAGGGCGGTTTAGCGGACGTAAAGTGTTTCTTTTCCGCACGACGTGTGTAAGTCGCATTTAGGTCATGGAGAAAGTAAATTCTCATGCGTAAAGCTTCGCTTTAGGCACTCGACATTTGTTCTACACACTACCTTGAACTTTACGCACATCGTGCGGAAAACAAACAATTTACGCCCACAGCATCCCAGAAAAGTGCACTTGGCAGGTATTACGAAAAATGCAATGGGTTACACATGCGTGTGAAAAAGTAGAACTTTACACACTTGTAACACAACAATACATTTCCATACATTTTCAGTAAAAGTGTTTTAAGGTCCCTCGGCACGAAAATTAATATACACACCTCGCCATGGAAAACATATATCACCCTCCCCCACGTGCTTGCCGCCCTCGCCTTCGGCTCAGAAGGCAATCTTGCACGTGGGGGGCGGTGATCTGTTTTCCAAGGCTCGGGCATGTAATGTACTATTTTTGACTCATGGGAGGTGTGTAGCGCTGGCCGAAGGCGAGTATTACTTTCCCAAGGGTCGAAGACCACTTTTCCCGCGAGTGTCGAATCCTATTTTTCATCACAATGTGTGAAAAATGAGATTTAGCGCACAACTGATGAAATATACTAAACGAATTTGTCATAACTAATAAATTATAATCGACACAAAAAAAAGTTTACTTAAAAAATTAGGATGCTCAGTTTTTTACCGTTTGCATACATAAAATTACTGGAAATAAGTCTTTACAATCCATAACACTTCAATGTACGAGAATCCTTTTGAAAATTAAGATGCTGAACTTCACTTTTTTGATCGAAAAATCGTCAAGACTCTCGGGTTATAGTGTGCACTGAGAGAGAATTTATTTTCTACCAAAACACTTTTTACATGTCACAACAATAGAACGTGTAGATGGTTGCATTGATTTTAACACAAAAAAAAAATCTGATGAATGTAACCAAGCTCCACCATCAGAAAATATAAATTAAATAAAAAATAATCTTCTCTAAGTGTGAATTAGTGCCTACTGTTATCCCTCTCGCATGACTCCCAATCCACTTCATAAATAATAATACTGATCTCAGGGATTTGCGCGGGAAATGGATCACGTGTTCAACCACCATCACTTCCAACTCCTTAAAAATCCTCGTAATCTCCTCAACAGTGCGAAGCAAACCCTATACAATTCAATTCCTCGGCACTCAGTGGAATTTCCCCCGAGAAACCTCAGAGATGAAACGAAAATCCCGCACTAACCGACGCCTCGCATGTTCCTTCACTCCAAATTAACTCCAAGAATTTTAAATTACTCACAACGGTCAGACGGATCGTCCGAGGCCCCTTTCCAATTCCCGTCTTGCTCTAATATACCAGGACTTTTCGCACTCGATGATAAATCCAATATCAATCATAATCATTCAAGAAATATCAGTTCCTCTTATCACTCGAGGCATCTGGACAACTTATCGTGTATCGTGGAAATACTTTCGAAGGCACTATCAGGCACTTTGAGGAGGCACGTAACTGGCATGCTGGCATGTACTAACGGTGGTTTTTCTTTAGTATTCCTCTTCACGCGTTTGCACAGTAGAGCAGAATCGACCTCTTTCTGAGATCCCTCCGTTAACTAATCCACCCACACTATTTTTCCTTAATGACTCAACATCGCTGTCACATGAATAATGAATAAGTAATAAGTTGTTTATCTTCACAACATCATCGGAATAATATGCAAATTATGCAGAACACTTTGGTCTCAATTAAAACTAAATTTAAGTATTTGTTATTATCAATCAATGAAGTAGCCTTTCAATTTTCATTAGCCTTGTTTTGGTTTCGTTGCACTTACTGTTCATTCAGGTGAGATCGGGTGAGTATAAATGAATAATTGAGGGGATTAGTGTGGAATAGAACCGTCGAGGTGCACGCACGCCACTTCACTGTCTCAGCACTCTTTGGCACAAGTCTGAAAACTCACTATCTGCGGGCCTATCATTCCCCCCGCCTCCACCGTTTGCTGACATACGCGCACCGCGGTCTCTGCCAGCTCTCACCTTCTCCCTCCTCTTTGAGCCAACACAGTCACCATATCGACGAGGTAAATATATATACTCCTTTCACCTCCAGAGCTCTATTCCTCGATTTTCCTGCTCTGTCTTCCTCTATTCCGGCCCTTCCACAGCTTGAGCGGACACACCTTGATTTCCTTCCGTGTGGCACCCTTTCGTGACATCATCGCGAAACTAGGTGATGATGTGTGTCGTGAATTCAGGAGTTGATTAAATTTGGGGGTGGAAACAACATTAATTTGATTAGTTTCTTTGGAAGAAGGGGGATGGAATAATTTGATGGGAAAACAGAAAGCTTTTGATAAGACTTTTTGAATTTTGAGGGGATAGCGATATTTTTGTGAAGCGTTTTCACTGTTTGAAAACGTTTAAAATTTCATGGACAATTTAGTAGTAATTATCAGGAGAACGATATTGAACTTGATTCAGGGGGTCAAAAATTAAATTTCAGTTAAATTGGAATTCAAAAATTTCGAGAACCAGGAAAAGCCAACTAGGATTCCCCAACTTACTTGAATTCAATATCAAATTTACTGAATTTTTAATTAATTAAGAATTCAATAATATTTCACCTCAATTTTCTTGATTTAGTAATGTTCATGAAATCAGTGAACAGAAATGGACATTTGACGCCAATTTTTCTTTCATCAAATTCCTTGAATTTGAATGATGTGTACCGGAAATTTCAGCCAAAATTTTTTAATATTCCTGTAGAGACTAGAAATATGACTGTCTCCATTAAAAAACGACATATTTATATACTGCTTCACAAGATCACAAGTTTTAACTTTTTATATCACTCCAACTTTTCAGTATTGGAATTCACTCCAAACTTTCACGAGAAGGTAATTCGATTGAAGAAGGGGTGAGTTTCTGCCGAGTATCTTTGAACCTGGTGGTGCAGGAAGCAAGCCAGACAGGTCTCCATACAAATATAGTCAGGCCCATTCAATTCTGAGATTCTTGGTGTTGCTTGAATTATTTGGTTGATACTGCTTCAATGAATCAAATTTTCCACTTTTCACCGTACTTCAACTTTTCAGTATCCACTCCAAACTTTCATGTGAAAGTCATTTGATTTAAAAACAGATGCGTTTTCAACGGATATTTTTCAACCCGGAGGCAGCGATATTCTCATAAAGATATTTTGTATACATGAGAAAATAGGTTGATGCCAACTTCATCCAATTCCGAGGTATCCCCAAAAATCGAATCCCATAAAAAATTATTTTATTTTAATGCAATCCTGGGCGTTTTTCCCCTTCACAAAGTCGTAAATTTCAATTTATAAAGTTTTTGCTATTAAAATTCACTCTCAACTTCCACGTGATTCCTCACAACCTCCACGACACTAATGAAAAAAGGCTTCGTTCCATATTAAACCTGAAAATGACTTTAAAAAACTTCGTAAGTAATTTTCTCTCGTAAACACGGAAAAAACTAGCAAGTCCCAATGCTTTTATACCTCTCAAGGTTTCAGCATGTCCACCACACCCTTGATGTTCTCGGACAAGGTATCTAGTAGAGATAACAAAAAAATACACGATAAGTGTTTTCGTGCTAGTGAGCAATTTAATGTTCGCGTGACAATGAAGGACCGCGTTGGAGTGCAAAACCTAACGCTCTATGTTCCATGTAAAATAATGCAGAATTGGTTTTCCAATGCTCATCTCAAATTGACATAAACTGTGTTAGTCTGATTGTAGCAATTATGGCGAGGTGATGAGGAGACTAATTACGTCCGGATCCTTGATTTTACGGGCAATTTGATATTTTTAATTAATCCAGTTTTATTGCCGGGAAGTTTCCTCGCTGCTTCAGCATTTATAGCCCATCGATTTCCTTCAGCTAATTCACCGCCACGAAATCAATACCTGGAGGTTTGATGGAAAGACACACGTGTTTGATTGACAATATAGGGTTTACGCTTTTATTCATTACATTACTTTTGGATATAAATCAGAAAGAAAGTGTTTTTCCAATTTGAATGGTAGAATGGATTTCAATTTGTTTCGTACTTCATTTTTTCTATTAAAAATTTACGGTTAATTTGTTCACAATAATATTGGAGAATGTCAAGACTGAATTGACCAGTATTAATGTTTGACACAGTTATGGCTTGTCTCTAGTGATTTAATGTTACGAGACAAGCATAAAATCGCTTGACGAAAGTTACTTTTTCTCCGCGTAAGATATTCTTTTCTGCCATCAATAAATTGGTGGCAGGCTTACAAAAGGTTCCATTTTTTAATTCTTATGTGTTTTTTATGCTTGTTTGTCACAGACTTACTGATGGAAGCTTCATTTCTACACAATCTCATGAATTTTATTTGTATTCATGATCTCATTTCTGGATGTGAATGAAAGGGTTTCGTTCTGATGAGGGGTTTGACAGAGAACCGAAACGTCGACTCAATTCTGTAATTAAATCATACTTAAGTACATTAATGACCACAAGACCACCTAATATCCAACTTGATTGAATATTACATTATAATCACAAAGGTAGTTTTGATCGACTAATTGACGAGACATTACAAAATCATCAATTTAACGGCAAGTCATGAATTTTCCTAACGAATAACTCACTAATAATAATAATAATAATAATAATAATAATTCCATGAGTTTACGAATACATGAGTACATGAATTTCTTCATTCAGTTTTGTACATTCAGTTGACAACATACATTATTCCTCGCAGTGGTAGAAAAGAAAAACAATAATAATCACACGTATTAAAATTGCAATATTTTTCCGAACTGAAGGTCCTGCAATTATCTAGTGAGAGTTTCTGCAATTTCTCTGTAAAGAGACAAATTTCTTGTAATGGGAGGGCTGACAGTCATGAAGGAAGGAGACTGGTCCCGATTACTGGCCGTCCAGATGCCTCACGCGCCGCCACGGCTTCCACCGCCTCTATGCATCTCCTCACTCTCGCCAAGTGCCGTTTCACTATCTTCCCCTCCGCTGAACATCCTTCGAGCTTCCAAATCTCAGCATGAATCTTTTCGTTTTGTTTACTTGTCATTTAGCTTGCCATTTTCATTCCCGTCTTTTCATTTCACAAAGACCATTTCTCGAATTCCAGATTGAACATTGAGTATATAGGTCGATGCCCTGTCCACCATCACTTAGCTTTCCACGCAATCGTCGGTTTCCACCAGAATCCGTTAAATTTTTCCGTTTTTTCAGCATACCTTGCTTCATCAGATTTCAGCTTAAACACTGGCAAGGGAATGGACACCAACCTCCATTCCTTTGCCGCTATAACCAAACTTCCCACGCGTCTGTCAATTTCTATCAGCATCTTCCTGCATATACGCCAATCATCGGAATAAAAGTTTTATGTGAATTAGAAGCTACCACGACAATTATATTCACCCTTTCCAATTGATTCTTTCCTTCACGCTTCAAATATTCCTTAATTTTTTCGGACGCCGGGGTCGGCCGATGTGAACCCCATGGCGCTACCGTTGCTTGAACTTTCAACGCTTAAATATTCTGTACCAAATTACGCTGAATTTTCAATATACCGAAAATTCAAAAAAATATTCAGTTATAATACCCCGAGACCTTCAAAATTATCGGAATATTTCCCGATAGCTTCGTTGCAAACCATCGAAAGTGTCAAGTTTTGCAGGCTGAAAAATTCCGAGTGCGCAGCAAATTTTTCGAATTTCTATCAATTTTCATAGGATAATTGAGCTGAAATTGACCATTTCTATTATGGTTTCTCATTAAGGACGGGAGTTTATATAGTGTTCAACATCTTGTGACATCACATGATATGGTTGGTTAAAATTTTGGAGTAGGTAGGAGAAGAACCATGATCATTCTCGATATTAATTTACAAAAAGAAAGGAATTTTTAAAAGGGAATTCCTTGAAATGGAATTCGATTTAGAGTGAAAAAATAAACATTAAATTTCAAAGTTCACTCGTAATTAAATGGAATTCCATAATTTTTAATAAATATATTTTTGAATTTTCAGGACGACACTGAATGCGATTTAGGGGTAAAAAAATCATGAAATTGCAGATTAAACTGAAAATTCAATGTAATTTGGCACTGAATATTTATTTTAGATTGGAAATTCAAATAAATTAAGGAATCCTCATCTTTATCCTGCTTAAAATTCTGGAATTTCATTGAATTTTCAGTGAAACCTGAAATCGCATTTAGCGTCACTGTCCAGATAATTAGTAGTCAACTGTCCATGAAATTTCATTTTTTATAACAATGCACCACGAAATTCGAATTTCCCTTAACCGTCCAGCAATTGGCCTGTTCACCCTATATAAATACAAAATATTTGATAATAATAGTACTATTAAATAGAAGAATGTCAGAGAAAGAGAGGGAGGAGTCACATATTTCTTTTGTGTGGACGTAATGGGTTGTGTATCTGGGTTACGTCCAGATCTATGTTTCTGGTGGGCTATTCACTGGTTAATGAACGCTGAATGTCAGCTCTCCAGAGAACACTAAATGCAGTGCATTTCGTAATATTCAGGGGTGGAGTCTGTCATTATCGCGCTCAGTGGTGCAATCCAATTATTTTCGATATTATCTGGATGTAAGAGAGAATGAGAAAAGTAGTGGTAAACAGGAAGGAAAAGGAAATGGGCTTGGTGAAATCAATAGGGTCAATTTTATATATCTGGGTGGATTACATCGTGCTACGGTGGAGACGCGCCTTTTTATGATTCTCAGGGTCGAATTTTCTGTTCGATACTCGATAGCAAACATGAGACAATGGACACGCCCTGGAGCTGTAGATCGAGGTCAGTTTTTTTTCATAAAATTTATTGAAATTGAGGAGAGTTCAAAATCTAATTTATCATTGAAGCGAT